AAATGCATTGGAATATATTTTCTGAAAAAAGGGTGTTTTTAGAATATCTTATCAACAGATGACAAACATTGCTGTCAAGGATTAGTACTAGTAATTACTTCAGCATGATCAATAGGTATTTCTTTTTCAATATATTTTAATTGTGAGTTTTCTGTATCCTTCTCTAAAAGCTCTTCTATCTCATAGCTTGTTGTGATTTCACAAGGCATATCTCTTTGTAAAAGGGTTCCTATATTTTAAAGCTATCTTTAAACACAAAAGGTAACCAGAAAATTCAGGTTCCATTTTTCAATTTCATATTGGAAAAATCCCATTAAATTTGGCTGACAATGTAATTCTAAAAATATTAATGCAGTGCTCAAGTTTGTCTTTATAGAAGTATGACTGGAATGAAGAAAGAAGAAAGTATTTCAAATGAACCAGGCTAAGCAGATCTATAAATATAATTGAAAGAGAGAAAAATCCTAAATTAATAAACCCAGAATACCAAGGAAGAGCTGGTACAAAATATCTTTTCAATTATGCTTAAGACTCATGAGACTGAAATAATCAGGAAAAAATATCTCAGTTTAATGACTAGCTGCTTAATGACAGTTGAAATATACACAATATATTCAACAGATCAGTTGATTCAACCTCTAAATCACCAGTGTCATAATCAACAGCAAATATCTGAGTCGACATGGGATTATAATATCCACAAAGCAATCTGGGGTAATTTTAAGCTTTTGAGGATACAATGAGACATAAGCTATATACCCAAGATGCTCTCTAAATGCTATGGATTGAAGTTTGAACTTACAATATATTCACAAGATTATGGATAGAAGCACAAATATGCAAATATGCTTCCAACAAACAACGCTCTTTCACATCTGCCATAGTAACCACAAGTCATTTTTTTTCTCCACATACCATATTGACTTAAAATAATTATTAACACAAGATGGCTCATTCCACATTTCCTGCTGTTGAAGTCGGGCAATATATTTCAGCATTCTAAACTATCCATTATTCGGTAGTTAAATGGATTTTACAGTATGCTGCTTCTCTCAGTTCATAATGTAAAGAACATTACAGGATTTACAGTGAGGCAACATTTTTACAGAAATAGATTTCTATGGTACCCACAAAGCAATCTAGACGAGATCTATAGCTTGCCTTGTGGCTATGTATAGATTCTTGTCTTTTCAACAATATATAGCACATAATACAGTATAGTCTCATGTCTTAGACTTCCATAATTTCCCAACAAACTGGGAAATGATTGTATCCTTTTTTGTGGTAGAGCATAGACTCCGAAGACTTGAAGAACCATTCAGTTCTCAGAATCCCTTTTTAAAGAATGTCCTAATTAGATTCTTTGGGCAATTATTTTTTCTTCATGCAAACTCTTCCCACAATTATTCTTGATCTAACTCAGTGAGATAATGTATTTTATGGAAGCTTGCTATTGTGCCTTGCTGCAATGAAGGGGGTCTCCAGGGGTGTATTGTGCTTCTGCCATAAAATATTATGTTGGACATATTTTTGCCTTGATCAATCAAACTTTTCATTGTAATGAAATCCATACCAAATGAAGCGATGGACCACAAGCACCATACCAGCTAGAAGTGAGGCACCTCAGCACTTCACCAAGGCACTTTACTCCTTTTTTTATTGATCTGCAAAAATCTGTGCAGTCCTATGATTGATGATAAAATGATGAAAAATTCAAAGATTAAAAAAAAGGCATGGACTGGCAGGAAATGGTTATGTAATGCTCATACTTTCCTTTCATAAACGTGCATCACTTGTTTAAATAGGGCTTTTTCCCGTGACCCGTCAAAAGCGCGAATGTCATAAGCGCGCCGACAACACCGCGGCGCTAAAACCGCGATGCCAAAAGCGCGCCGACAACAGCGCGCCGACAGAAGCGTGATTTAATTTAATGTAAGATTTACGGTTAGGTTTAGGGTTAGGTTTAGGGTTAGGTTTA